GGTGCAGTGTAGAATAAAGGGGAGGCACAAGAGAGTGGTGGTGAGTGCAGGGTGAGGGAATGGGAGTAAGAAGAAGTGGGGGTTAGTGAGATCAGGTGAGAACAAGGGGGTGATGGGGAGGTTTCAGGGATGGTGGTGTGTAAGGAAATGCACAGTGGTGATAAAGAGGGGTTTACTGGTTCAGTGGTGGTGAGTGGCTGCATGTGTGGTGGTGAGCATTTGTGTAAGCTGCAGTAGAGTCCAGGGGATAGGGAGGGAGGGAGCTGAGGAAGAAAAAAATTAGAGGATCATGTCCTATTGCAACATGGTCTGACCTTCTGAAGGGATCACTCTGGATGTGCTTCCCACTGGGTATGGTTGTTATTTATGATGCTGGTCTACATTTAAATGTTGATGCTACCATGTATGTGTACTTGCAACACAATATTATTACCTTCCTGCTGCTACTGCCCATGCACCAGGTATTAGCATTATGTTGGCTTATCCGAAAGACTTTATACTACCCCCAGAGTGGACATGGCATTAGTGATAGTGCTTCTGATCTCTAACCTGTCATCATAGACTTCTTTGGGGCTGGGAGACTGATCAGCATCCTAGCCCCACAGAAGGCTTTGGGGTCCTACTGCACACGCAGCGGGAAGTAGGTGATACACCTGCCACAAGTAAACATTGCAACAGAAAGGCAGTGGACTCATTGCCAAAACTGTGGGAGTATACAGCGGAGGATGGGGAGGAAGAGGAGAGGGTGAGGCAACATTCACAAAATGCTCTTTTCTGATCCTTTAAGTTAAAATCAAACAGAAGGCAATGATATATGTGTGTTTCAATAAATATATAAAGAAAATAATTTTTTAACAATAAAATGGTTCAGCTTGCTAGAACTGCTTTAAAACATATTTGCCAAGATCTCGAACATATAATATAACAGCTGAGATTTTATAAGTTGGGAGTTTCCTAAAACATATGGAAAGCCCATACTGGCTGCCATTTTTGGAAGCCCCCTCCTAAGTCTTCATATTTCACGCATCACAGCCAGCAATACAGATCGAAATATTAGCGTCCCCTTCACACTATGCCATTCCATTGTGGTGCTCTACTGCATACATGTTAATGTGTGTTGCAGTAAGGAAGTCATTTCATCAAGAATGAGCTGCCAATGCATGGAAATGGAAAAAAAGACCTGCACTTTTTTTTAAAGAATGCATTGCACCACAATGCAAGACACATGCATTTTGGTGCACTGCAGTGGGGGTCAGTTGGCACCTACTGTACTTGTGCTTTGGTGTGGCCTTCTAAATAAATGGCACTGCAACATACCACACAGAGCCTTGTGTTACTGTTGCAGTAAAATGCACATTACCCCAACGCAGAGGTCTAAAGGAGGCCTAAAGGTTAAATATACTTTTCAATAACAGTGCCCAATTAGAAGCCTGCAGGACAGATTTTGTATTTGGGCCTATGAAGAACCCAGTACCCCAGGCATTCTGCTCCCTGACATTACATCTCCCTATTATTATACAGGATTTATATGGCGCCAACAGTTTGCACAGCGCTTTACAATATAAGGAGGACATTACAGTTACAATACAAGTCAAGACAATATAGTAAGGATTATATCAGGCTGGAACTAAGGGGTGAACTAAAACTTCATTTTACTTATACATAACTTCTGCATTAGAGTGTTAATAGAAAAGAGCATATATTAGCGTTACACAGCAAAACATTTTCTTAACCCTTGCAGTGGGGCTACCCCTTCACTGCAAGGGGATAAGTGCTCGTTTTTGTCTAGATGTTAAAAAAAATTGCTATACTCACCTGAACCACGGAACCAGCTGGCTACTGCTCCGGTCCCTTCCACCTGTCCCCTCCTCTGCTGCAACAATGGTAAGTCCCTCAGCCTCTTTATGTTTGCATGTATGAATATTTGCAGGTGTGATTTCAGAGTAATATAAGACAGCTTGCCCACTAAAAGGTTGGGTGAGCCATACACATGGTGTCCTCTAGCCATCTTGCAGTTATATGGCTCGCTCATGTAAAAAAATGGGGCAGCAGCATGTGTGCGCAATAAGTAGAAGGTCCGAAATGGTTGTTTTCTTTACAAAGGCTGTGTGGCAAAGTGAGTAAAAATTCCCTTGCTCTAACCAGAGTTCTGTAACCAGAAATCCTGTTCTGGTATGAACTGCGAATTTGGGGATTTTCTATCCCTTTCTGTACTGGTGGCATTGCTCAGCATAGAGAGGGTGAATCTCCCCAAGGGGCACACAGACAGCTATACAAAACTGGCAGAGGTTTGAATAACTCCCCACTCTAAAACGAAAAATTATATTGATTTTATGGTATTATCTGTTTTTCACTTGAGTCTGCACCGTCGCTGCACCAAATCGGTCAAGCAAAACAAACGACAAACGCACTCAACAATTTGTTACCAGTTATACAGTAAGGAGCACACGAAATGGGCTTTGAACAGTAAAACAGCAGAAAGGCATCATGGCACACTTGGTGCAGCGACGCATGGGGTTTCTCAGCTGCCATTAGGATGTGCCTGATCCCTTGTGTGTTTCTGTGCCTTTAAGGAGTTTGGGCGTCCTCCTGACAAACCTGCACCCAATTTGATATCTTCTGCCGCCATGTGCTCCAAGATGGAGACTCTCATAGTTTAGAGTTAGGAACGCACTACAAGAGGTGCCTTGGCGCGGCAGTGCGGCTTTCACATCCTCTGCAGAAGACGTGTATCCAAACCTCTCTCATTATCCTTAGTGGTGAGACAAGTTGTTTTACATGCTGGTTTGTGAGTGTGCCATGATGCCTTTCTACTGTTCTACTGTTCAAAGCCCATTTCGTGTGCACCTTACTGTCTAACTGGTAACAAATTGTTGAGTGCGTTTGTCCCGTGTTCATTGGGTCGCCACATGCCTTTCACTTTTCTAGGTGAGAGGCTCCTCTGCCTCCCCCTAGCGCAACACTGTCAGTTCTTGCACCAAGCAGCCATTCAAAAATGCTGCCCGGTGCCGAGTGTGAGCTTGAGGTGGGATGGGATAGGAGTATGGCCGCGAGGGAGCTCCATCTATTCATGCATTGCTTACAGCTCCCACACATGTCCTATAGAGGTGCCTGTACAGGAGTGACGTCACATTCTGGCTCCCAGGTTCTATCACAACACAGCAAACCACATTGAACCCCAGGCTGAGGATCCACTCCAGTTCTCGTAAGGTAGAGAGACTGGGGGGGCCTTAAAAAAAATGAAATTTTTTTTGGCGTGTGTGAGATTGCGTCTGTGGTTGTGTATGTATGTCAGTATTTGAGGGCCCGTTCACACTAGTACCGTGCAATTAACACATGTACCACGCAATCGCACCTACCGTGCATTCTTATGTGGGAGATGTGTTGCGTTGCCATTCATTTAAATGGTACCCCAAACCCTCCCACCCACAGTTTGTACGCCCGCACCAGAACGCACGGTACTGCAGTGCCGTGTGTTCCATTGCAGTGCGACTTAAGTCACGACTTAATGACCAAGGACATATGTGGGTCCTAAGGTTACACAGGTTGAGAACCACTGCTCTAGATGACATCCCTGAGATATAGTGACACTTCAATTTACGGTATTATAAAATGCAAACTGGTTTCTTTTGGGAAAATAAATTGTTTGTTGGACTATTACTGGCCAAGTATAAATGATGGAATCACCTAGTGCAGACAGGTTTTATTTTCCACATGGTGAGTCTCAGTGACTGTCCAGGTTTTCTCTTCTATTCCATGGTGTCACCTATTTGGAAAAATAAACCTGTCCACTGTTCTTTATGGCCATCATTTCAATGACAGCAGTGAAACATAATATTTATTGTCTAAATAAGCTATTTCAAACATGATCCAGCTGCGTCCTATTAATCATCTCCTATTAATAAGAAAAATGTTTAGTTTAGACCCCACAAGTGGACAGATGTCATGACTGTACACTGTGCAAAACTGAGTGACATTAAATATCAAACAGCAGATTTTTGTAAACTTTAAATATTGTGCATAGTATTTATTAATGAGGTTTAGAATGTTGTTCTTTCTATCTGCAGACATTCTTCCAGGTATTTCAGTCATCTTTCATGGTCAGTAAACCTACTGATTATTTGGCTTGTAATAATCAGTATGCACAGTATAAACCTAATGACTAAATCCTCATATAAGCATTTATATTGTAACTTCATTTCTAAAGTCATTTTCAATATTTTTAAATCTGCCGTTTTGATTCAAATAATACAATATTATGCAAAAAATACAAATACTTTGCCAGGTAAAACAGTGCCCTTAAATATTATTCATCTGTTTGCCTGGAGTTTGGCTTTAAAGAAGAACTATGAGGTGAGTGATTTTCACTCAACCTCATAGTTCGAGCCGACGTGTGACAATGAAACTGTCACACGTCGGCTCAATAGATAGGGAAGTGAGCGAACACATACCGTCGCTCGCTCACTTCTCGATCCTGTCCCTGCAGAGAGCCGTGACTGTCACTCACGGCTCCCTGCAGGGATTCCCCCTCCTCTGCTCCTATCCTCCAACACTGACTGGCGGAACAAACGGGGGAGGGTACAGCTGGCTCTGTCTCTAGATAGGCAGAGCCAGCTGTCAATCACACAGCTGGGTGGATCTCAAGAGTAATGTCGGGATCCGTCCCGGCTGCGGCGGTCTCAGTATACCGCGAGCTGTAGCTCCCGATATACTGATCTTTGGGTCACGGGAGGACGCTAGTTTATGTCCTCCCCTGACCCTGAGGAGAACTATGGGGAAAAGCACTGACCCCATAGTTCTCCTTTAATTCCTGGTGTCAGTTTAGCTGCTTTATTAGTTTAAGGAAACCTGTGAGAGTGTAGATGTTGGCGGTACCTTTTATGACTTAAAGCAGTGGTCCCCAACCCCGGTCCGTGGATCAAATGGTACCGGGCCGCGGTCCGGTCATGCAATATATGGCAGTGCACGGTCCCGGTGTTTGAACACCAGGGCCCCGCACTGCTGACGGGCTTCACAGTGAGGGGACGGGTCCTGTGACTCACCTCCCCTCCCGGCCGCGTCCATAGTAACAGGCGGCGGGAGGGGAGGTGAGTCACAGGAGGCGTGTGTGTCACAAGCCCCACCTGCAGCGTCCATCTCCTGGCAACCGCCTATCACAGCCTTCTCTGCTCTCTGTGCCCGCCCGCCTCCAGCCGTCCTCTCTCCCCCTGACACACCGCTCGTTGTCTCGGGCTGGCTTGCTGACACAGGACCCCTTCATCCTCCAATCCCCCCTTACGTCACAGACCCCTGCACCCTCCAATCCGCCCCTATGTCACAGACACAGCACCCTCCAATCCCCCGGCATCATTGACACAGACCCGTCAACCCTCCAACACCAGGAATCACTGACACAGGACCCCTCCACCCTCCGACACCCCAGCAACATTGACACACACCCCTCCACCCTCCGACACCCCGGCATCACTGACACAGACCCCTCCACCCTCCGACACCCCAGCAACATTGACACACACCCCTCCGACAACCCGGCATCACTGACAAAGACCCCTTCACCCTCCAACACCCTGTTGATGTCGCTGACACAGATCCAGCTACCCTCCATCACAGACACAGACCACACTACCTACCAACATCCCATATGTTGTGCCGCAGACCCATTTACCTTCCAAAACCCCAACATCACTGACACAGACCCCTCAAAACTCCCCTTATGTCACAGACACAGACCATCTGCCCTCCAAT